CTTAAAAGATAAATATGGCATTCTTCCTCATTTCTCAGTAAATCTGACACTTAAAACTTTTCTTAAAGAAATACATTAACATGTGAAATATTCAAGACAACTTTTCTGCTGACAAAAGAATTAGGAATGATCGTGAATTGTTAACATTTACATGAAAAAAGAAAATGTGCTAACGTGATTTATTCAGAGTTCTCATCTCAGCAAACTATAAATGATCATGATTAGAATTGCCGCACACTTGATTACGGTTTGTGCTGGCAATTTATTAATAATCTTGATGCCATTTACAAAGCAGGTACCACACATATAAGGAAGTACTAATTTATACAAAATAAAAAAATTTCAAAAATATAATTCTTACTAAAGATAAGTTGTACTAAATTCAGTTTATTCAGCATGTTACTAATGTTAATCATTAAGTATGATACAATTTCTGAAAGTTGAAAAATTGCATGATAAAAATAACCGGTGTATAAACAAATAAAATAACATGCTGAACAAATATTAATTTAGAAGTCAAACAATAAAAAATCAGCGGAACAACTCTTATATACGCTCTCGCTTGGTGACAAATTTCTTGCCAAATTAAATTAGCAAAATTAAGCCTAAAATGTCTCCAAAAAATGCAGTTTTGAACACACAATTTAAGCTTAAAATTCAAAACAAAATATTTAGATAGAAAAAATATAAGGTTTCTAACCAAAAATATTTGACAAGAATCCATGTACACAGTGATATGTTTTAACTTAAAAAAACATCACAGAATTGCACAATCTATGCAGCGAAGGAACCTACAAATTATGCACACCTACCTTAAATAAATTAACATAACCACAATAAATTTCAAAGAATCCCATGTACACAGCGTTCTGTTTAAACTTTAAAAAACATCTACGAATTGCACAATCTAGGCATTGCACACTAATCAACAAAAAAACTAAAATAACTAAAATGAATTTAAAACAATTAAAAAAAATAGTAATGACAGAAATTCATACTAAAAAAACAATGAACACAACATTCTACAAAATAAGAATAAAATAAAATGCACTTAAAATGAATGAATGCTTCTTCGAACAGCAGAAATACCAAACATCACCAAAACAATTTCACCACAAATTTGTTAAAAGCATCTTCTCCCGTTTCAGAACAACGATGGAAAAATATAGGAACCCCCAAATAAAACACAAAATTGCATTTTCGATTATAAGTAGGCAACGTAGCTTTAACATGCCATCACATAATCTCTATCGTATTTATATGACAGCCAGACTCACTATCTACAAAACTGATACAGTCAAAAGTCGTTAATTCGGACACCCATAATCCGGACCTCAAAACTAAAAACTTTCTGCGCAAGCGCCGCGTTGACACATGCGCACAGGCGTTCACGAGTGCGCGTAAGACCTTTAAGTCTGCGCATATGCGTGTGTGCAAGTGCAGAATACGTTTTCGCATGCGCGTTTTATGTATAACGGACGGTATAAGCTAAAATTATCTAATTATCTATTTCAGTTAATGTTAATGATTGCGTTGTTCCTTAATTTTCGAATTGGATCCGGCTTATTATTTTTTGCAGACTGTAAGAGCAATACTATAAAAGTAAACTTGAACTTTTGATTATGTCAAAAAGAATTTCCGATTCTGGAGCTCCCAAAGGATCGTACAAAACGAAAGTATGTTTCGATGTCCATCAAACAAAAAGTGGAATTGCTGCAAAAAATGGATAAAGACATGAAGAATGTGACAGAGAGGTTAGTAAAAATGAAAAAATTTCGATTGACAAGTTAGTCGGTATTCTCGGCACAGCAATTAACGGGACTTGAACAGCGGAACTTTGTAACTGAACAAGAAATTATGTCTGTTTATAGAATTAAAGAGAAATTATTATCACATAAAACGAAGCAACTTAAACAAGTTACATTGAAAGAAATGTTTAATAAAGTAAACAAATAAATATTAAGCTTTTTTTTTTTTTTGTAAATTTTGATACCCTTTAGATCATAATTGTTCTTTATTTCATAAATTAATCATAATTGTTCTTTATTTCATAAATTACGGTTTCATATTTTTAATTTTAGAATTTCTGCATGCCATCTTACGAGATTTAAACTGATGATCTATAATCCAGAAAAATCGATAATCCGGAATCGCCGAAAGTCCCGACGAGTCCGGATTAACGACTTTTGACTGCACTATCTTTCACAAATAAATGTTCAAAACCTTCTTCTAAATACTTGTAGAATTTCCAGCCACCCTGAAAAATAATTGTACCAGGCACGCTACTAAAATTTTGCCAACACGTCTTTCATTGCATCATAAATCACTTAAAAACCACAAACTACATGAACCAACTAGCAACTGAAACCACTATATTAAAATCAAAGTTTCCACACAAAAAAATGTTGCCAAAGAAACCAACATCGCCCCCAAAACCATCGCAGAACACACAATTGTGCCAAAAACCAGTGCACAACACTTTTGCCCCATTTGGTGACCTGAGGGTACACATAAGAGTAGTACCAAATCAGCATTATAATTGTAAACAAAAACATAACTTCCTTAAAAACTGAAGAACATGGAACAGAATGTTCAACTTCAAACATGGTTTGGAATTAGGGTCGTTAACTAGAACAGAAAGATTTTTTTGAATGTGAAACACCTCTAGAAAATCTAATTCACCAATGGAAGATGTTTTTTGAATAATTTTTGCTGCAGAAAAATGGAAAGTGTGAATTTCGGACCAACAGTGTGAGCAACAGAAGACTTCTGTGTTTCCTTTTTTCTAACATATGCCTCATTTCTTTGACGCGAAATTTTAAGGCTCTCTTAGTTTGGCCAATGTAAATTAAACCACACTGGCAAGGAATCCTGTAAATACCCCAGGAATTCATATCCGGAATGGGGTCCTTGAGTATAGAAGTTGGAATTTTATTGATAATTAAATGACCCGAAAGTTAAATTTTGGTTGATCTTTAGATTATGGTAACTTGGCGATTTTTTGGCGACCAACTCTCTTACAGCAACCCTCTATTTTTTTTTCCCGCCGCCATTTTGTCTTCAAAAGACATGTTTCTTTTCTTTTTATCTACTGAACACTTCTTCCAACAATCTACTAGCCGAATTACACTTATCCTAGAAATTTTATCTAACAAAACTGCTTAATCATGACAAATATTCACTGCAAAATTGGGAAAACGTGCACAATACCATACTCCTTACGCGTTTTTCAAAATAATACATACACATAAACCATGTACACGTCGACTTATTTTTACTTAAAAAAACATCCCAGAATTGCAAAAAAATGGCATTGCGCACACGTCACTATTCCATGTACACTGCCTTTTTCTCATAAATTAGAAAAAATTTCACGAAAAATGACAATTTTTTGAATCTTTAAACCCGGTAAAAAAGAACATATATGAAATTACCTGATGCGAAAAAGTATATTACCCTTCCAAATATGAACATTTCCATGTATACAATAAATAAAATATCCAAAAACTTTACCTCTCAATTATATTATATTATAAATGTCACCAACGAAACTTCATACCGCAAAAATTACAAATACTTAGTGTCAAATATTTAAATTATTTCCATGCACTTTATTCAACTAAATTGTATACCAAATTCCTACAAACCTAAAATTCACAAAATAACTATCATTTAATTAAAATATCACTAAACCATACACACGTCGACTTATTTTTACTTAAAAAAAATTCCAGAATTGCACAAAAATGGCATTGCGCACACTCTTCACTATATCCATATACACTGCTTTTTTCTCATAAATTAGAAGAATTTCACGAAAATGCATAACAATTTTCTGAATCTTTAAACCCGATAAAAAGAACATATATGAAATTACCAGATCGCGAAAAAGTATATACCCTTTCCAAATATGAACATTTCCCCCTATAAAATAAATAAAATATTCAAAAACTTTTACCTCTACATTATCTATTATATTACAAACGTCACTAACTAATTCATACCGCAAACATTACAATGGTTACAAATACTTAGTGTCAAATATTTAAATTATTTCCATGCACGTTTACCAAATTACTTTACTTCACCTTACATTTAGAACAATGCATAAAAATATATCCTCAAATAATTAAAAATACTAACTTACCTAATCTTCTTCAGATCTTGATTACGTGTCCGAAAACTTTCTTATTTCTGTTTCAGGATCTAAAATCATACTTCAGTTCACACAAGTTACCAGGTAAAAATAAATACTTAATAAAACATCTTTACTTTTATCTTCGCACACCTTAAAAATACACTTATTACTACCCTTTCAATCCCACTAAATACCCCATTTCGAATTCACTTAGTTAGGGCCATGGGATCCAAAAATTAACGAACACTGTTTCACACAACACAGAATAAAGCCAAATACAAATTTCCAGATTTTTCCCGATTTCCCCCTTTTCCGATTAAAGAACCGTAATTCGTCCATTAATATCACATGACATATCCCATGATCTCTCATTTCCCTCACACAAAATAATGCGTAATCGGAACTGAGTACTGCTCACATTATTACCAAAGTCCCAAGTAGTAACCTTTATCGCCTCCAAAATGTCGCCAAACTACCAGTTACCATATTCTAAAGATCAGCCATGAGCTGTTGTATCTAAAATGCGGTCTCCATATCATCTGAAAGTTTAGAATGGGGATACAACAATTAGAATTAATGCATAGGTATATAACATTATCAGGCCACATAATGTAGTTTATTTCGAATACTATTCTTACAATGTATAACTTTCAATACACGTAAACCCTAATTTCAAATTTTTGGTGAATATATTATTATAATACAAAGTCAAGCGCCTTAGGAACCTTAAAGTTACCACAAAAAATTCTACACCTTAATTAACAAAATGCAGAACATAACTAATAAATTTTACAGCTACATGAAAAATATTAAAATTTCGGAAATGTAGTAATTTTAAATATTCACTTTGAAATCCACTTACATTATACATATTGTATTTGTTATTAGAAACTTGTCAAAACACCAGTTTCAAACCGAGGAAAAAAGTAGTAAAAGTTACAGTTGCTCATAAAAATACAATTATGTTCATAATAAAATAAAGTGATAATATGAGATTATTCTGTGACATTGCAAATATTGTATGATTCACTTTTAATATAGAAGTAAGACGTGCGCAATACAATAGTAACATATTTGTTACTAAACAGTTGCGAACAAGGAGAATAAATTGTCTTTATACTCCCTGGCTGCAAACAAAAACATTGCTTCTTTACCGGCTGATAGTGTAGTAGACCGGAACCGTAACTGAGCATTACAAAGCTGTTCTTCGTTTCTAAACTTTGCGATCGGAAATGGTAAATATTCTTAATTTTTTCGATGAGAAATTGTCGTTAGTGATCATTATATGTAGGTTTAGCTAATTCGTTAAACTTTTGAATAATACATATTTATCGAATTTTACCCACCAAAAATAGTTTTATTACTAACATCACACATTGTCAATCATTGACAATCTAAAGGATTAGGTATATAAGCACATTATTCAAGGATAATTTATAAATGCAACTAGGGAAAATTTACGAGCAGTTTTAAAATATGAAATAATGATATTCTGTATAAACTAAATTAAACCATTACTACTAATTCAAACTAGAATTTTTCACTTTTAATCATTTTTTTAAAAGAGTATTTTTGAATATTTTCAAATATTTATTGGTCTGATTACCTACAAAAGCTTGTGCACGCCAAGGAGAATTACTTGATTTAATTACAAGGCTACATGCATTTATTATTTTATTGTATTCTTTTTTTGTGAAAGAATCAGAATAATGAATGAAAAATTCTGTTAATGATTACTCTTCTCTTAAAGTGAGTTTTTCTCTTAAAGTCTCTTCTTCCTATTCATTTTCTTTCTGTTATTCTGTATCTGGATAATGTTTCATTTTAGCTAATTCTTAAAGAATTAAGTGACATGTTGGTGATGTGTTGCAGATGTGCTTTTATATATATTTGTTTTGGGTAACATTTACATGCATTTTAGTAAATGATTTCAGTCTGTTTGTCTCATTCATTCGAGTTTAATAATAAATGCTTGAAATTCATGCTAATTTTTTTGTTAGATTGTTAAGTAATCATAAAAATAAATCACCTTGAAGTATTTTTAACCAATCTCATTAAATTTTTATTTATTTATTTTTTTCCAACTCAAGGCAAGGCGATATGATTCGAGGACAACAATTTTCTCCCCAGAAGGTAAGTTAATTTTATCTATGGCCTTCCCCTTTGAACCTACATTCATTAACTCTTTTGCAATGAAGTCGCCCAAAACGCCAGACCATTCAGACATCGGCAGGTCGCCCGAACACCTGAATTATTTTCTACCTGGTGCTTTCTCCTTTCACATTATGTGCTAATCTTCCATAAGTTGGGTAAGTTGGTGCCAAACTATTTTGGCCTTCAAAATTTGGCAAATTTTTTTTGCAGCAATGAGAGCACTAGGATGTGATTTTTAAACATAAATAGAATAGTAACTTTTAAGTTTTGCACTAGTAAAATGCCGTTATTTTATGTAAACAAAATAGTAAAATGAGATGGTAAAATACTATATGAGTAAAACAAAGTGCACAAGCTCCGCAAGTAAAAATATAGCCTATCTATATAATTCATGATAAAATAGTATAATAAAATAACAAATTGTATAACACTTTCCTTGGACTCCAAAACTGTCAACTAAGTAAATGTATTCAAATTCACTAACAACAGATACATCAGAAACGCACTAAAATATACAAGTTACTATGGTTGGGAAATTTGACACACTAAACAACTTTCGTTCAAAATTTTAAACATTCCTCATCTTTCGATTACCAAATGCAAGAAACAAAACTTACGTTAACTAAATAAAATTAAATGAAAGCATTAGCATCACGTCATCTGAAATCCAACATTTTCTCTTTAACAGCAGCTTAACCTCCTGTAAATATTAAGAAGTAAAACTTTTAAAAACAAACACAGTATTTCAAAATTAAATAAAAAAAAAAAAAACTTTTGGCTTGTCAATCACCGAAATAAAGCTCTAGGCACAGGAAAACATACAGCCAGTAACCACAACCAAATTGGAATCGCGCCAAATTAAAAACTCTCACCAAGTATCACGCTCACCCCAATTATGAAAGATTAACCACATTATGCATGGCTCATTGCTTTTGGGTGTTGTTAAATGACATGCCAGTCATTCTTTTCACTCGACTAAAAGCAGTTCTGTTATTTGAATGTGCGTTCTTTCTCTGCCTAGTGTCAATGTTTAGCTATTGGTACCCAAAGTTGCAATCCTGTCCTGAGGGAAAACAGCACCTAGTAGTGAAACCTCATGAAAATCCCAAGAGAGAAGTTTTCGCTTTCCTTTAGTAAGTTATTATTAGTGCTGTCACATTCTACTTGACATGGAAGAAAGAAATCCATTCCAACAAAAATACATATATATGAGCATTTAAGATGTTTGAGTGAAACAGATTTTGGCCTTCACCGATGTGAAAGTATTAATCTACTCTTTCTTGCTTTTGGATTTTTAAATTGTATGGAAATTATGCATATTTTGAAACGTTAGTATCATTAAAAAATTATTTAATCAGCTGATAAATAATGTTTCTGTCGAGGTTGAAAAACGTTTTAATTTATGAACAAGTATTAAACTAATGGTTTAAACATTTATATTATGAATATTTTCAGGGAGATTATATCAAGTGGAATATGCCATGGAAGCTATTGGTCATGCTGGAACATGTCTAGGAATTCTTGCCAATGATGGAATAGTATTAGCTGCTGAGCGTAGAAATACTAATAAACTTTTGGATGAAGTTTTTAATTCTGAAAAAATTTACAAGCTTCATAAGTAAGTATTTTATTTTTCATAATATTTTACAGAAATGAATAATCTATAATGCTTCTTTGCACTTGCATATGTTTGTACTTTTGTGATAATATAAATGAAAAAAACATTTTTGGATGATGTGTTAAAACATAATTGTTAAAAAAAATTCCTTATGGATGCATATACTTCCCAACCATTCTGAAGGAAAGAAGTTAGAGCTGTGTTTGTATGTATACAAGAATTTTGAGTTTGTAATGTAAATTATTTAATTATAAATATTTTCATTTTTCTTTTTTTTTTAAAGACATTTTCTGCTTTGAAAGTAATGATTGTTTCTGAAGGAGAATAAGTGCAAGTTATAAAAATTGAATGATTGGTGTAATATATATATCATGTGGCCATTGGGCACAAGGAAAGTGTTCCTGAGCAAAGCTATTGAACAAACTTTTACAAGTTACTGAATATCCAGTAACTTGTAAAAGTTTGTATCTAATTAAGTCATAGCTTACATGGCCAGAAAAGCTGTCTTTTCAGGCAGAGGAGCAAAAGAGTAGTTGAAGAGATTAAGGGAGCTTTATTGTTGCAGAGAATACTAGCATCTGATGTATCAGGCTTTGCAGAGAAAGGGATGAGGAGGACTCTGTAAGAAATAGATGTAATTTGGAAGTTAAGCTTAAGCAAAAGAGAGGACATGGAAGGAAAGTTACTTTTGGAGCGAAGTAGTAGTAAAGAAATTTGAAACTGACAAATAAATTCAGTTACTGAGCAGATTACTAATTGGTTCTATTAGTCATTTAATTTCAGCAAACATTTTCAAAATTCATGGAATTTTCTGGTTATGGAGTTACTCATGGTAGGTGCAGGTATGAATTTATTTAAGACATTAGTATAGTAACTATTTTTTAACCCATTGTGGCTAAATAAGTTGGAATAAAAAATAAATCTCTAGATTTGGGGGATATGATAGGACTATTTTTTTGGTTGATTTTGACTTGTGATTTGTGACCATGTAGAGTATTATTAATATCCACAGGAATTAATTATTGCATGGTGTTTTCTCCAGGCTAAGTGCTTGCAAGAAGCTGATATCTGGTTGAACAGTATTAGTTTTTGTTGGGCTTATGAGAAAATTTTGAACAACCAGAGAATGAAACTTATAGTCCAAGTCATCTGTATTTATAGCAAATTGGTTCTTTGATTTTAGCTTTTTGGAGATAATAGATTTGTAGCTTTCTGAGAAGTAAATGATTGGCAAAATACGACGTTTTTTCTCATTTTTGGAGCTTATTTGTATGTTTTAAAGGAAAATTGAAGGAGATCTTAAAGGTCATATATTTTTGTGAATTCAAAATTTGGAATAAGTTGTATAACAAACAACATTGGAGACATAGGTCTATGTTTAGTCAGCTTTGTGATCTTACAATGTGCTTTATCTTTTAAATATTAGTGATGAGTCAAATTTTTATTTAATTTGAAATAAGCAATGGCATGTCACTCCTTACCTCAAATGGACCAGATTGTCATCAGCAGAGCTGTGGAGTCAGTAGGGAAAATGTCCGACTCCTGGAATTTTAATGACTCCGACTCCCTCATATATGTAAGCATATACACATGGATTGCAGCTAATTTTTTTAATATAAAAGAAGTAATAGATGCTACAGAAAAAAAATTGATGGCATAGCAACCGTTAGTGAAACATTAGGGTTTATCTACCTCTCCTAAAAAAGTTCTTCATTCTAAAAACCTCTTTAACATCAAATATGCACTTCCTTATTGCATTGCTTGATCAATAATTGCTCCTTTTCCTGTTCACTTGTTAAGAATGACATCAAATTTAGGAGTCCTTGCTGCTGTTGCTGCTTACCTAAATTTACCAGTGAGATTAACTAAATGAATCAGTTTAATCATTAATGGTAAATATCACATCCATTCTCCTCCCCTATATTTATTTAGTAACAGGTCAAAAAAATAGAAAATAACTATATATTAATGTATGCAGTTCATAAATAAAAATAATAACTCAGCTTGTCATTAATTTTTTTAAATTCATTTGAATTTCATTTCAAATTCAAACTGTCCAACGAAAACTGGAGTCGGGGTTGACCTGTTTTTAGCAACTCTTTTTGCCCCAAAATCTGCTCGACTCCACAGCCCTGGTCATCATTATAATAGTGCAAGTCACAACACATGGTTGCATTTTTCTGTAAGCAGCTTTTCAAATATCTTAAGGCATGCTACTTGTACTAATGATTTTCAGAATAAAGGTCAGCTGACTGTCTGTTAACATAAATCTCGTTGGGGGTCTTGCTCCTTTCCATGAGTAAATTAAGTTGTTCACTCTGATACATAGTACCAAATATGGAAATCATGTACATTACAAATTTGTGGCTTTCTGATAACAACAGGCAAATATTTATAAAATTTACATTTTATTTTCTTTTAAAATTGAGTCGTACTGAATTTCTGTCATCCATCTGTCAGTGGGTTGACACTTTCTCAAAGTTCATTGAAAAAGTGCTTTTGTAAAGTTTTATTATTATAGTTATATACTTTCTCTCATTTTGTCAGGATAAGTCATGAGCTGAGAGTTTGACGTACGTGGGTTGGGGGCTTTTAGAATTTTAAATATTAAGATTAGAATTAGGAATAGCAAATCCTGAATTACTAAAAGCCACCCTGAATTCACCCAGAAAGCAGGTGTTTTAATGTTCCTCATTCTTGTGGTGATGACATTAATGGTAGGATTAAGTATTCCAGTTATCTCATGCTTTCAAAAATTTTCAAAAATCGTACACAGATGACTTTCTTTCTATTATTTCCCCAAGGAAATGTAACACATTTGCAGTGTGTACTGTTTGTCACTGCAATTTTTTGATTTGGCATGGTGAAGGCCGATGTTCTCAAACACGTGCATATGTAAAAACACGAAGACAACAGAAATCTGTTAAAAAAGCAAAAAATTAGATTTTACTGTGGGAACAAAGGATCGAAAAGTTATTAATGTCGACTGCCTGTTCTCTGCATTTTTACTTGAGCCCAACTTGGCACTGAATGCATCGAATCATGCTGCAGCTTTATTTAGAAAAATGTTTCCCGACAGCGAAATCACTAAGAAATATTCAAGTACAAGGACCAAAACGCCTGCAATTGTTAAAGAAATGGGTATGAGAAATAAATCTTCAGTTATTGACTGCATTAAAACAGCTCCATTTTGCATCTCTATGGATGAAAGCAATAATACCAATTCAAATTTATATCCAATTGTTGTTTCTTATTTTAATCCATTTTCTCAGAAATTGAGTGTAGTTTACTCCTGTTCCCAATTAGAAGGACATTGACAGGCTTAATATAACACAGCTAATTATTAAATTGAGAGTATGTATTCGGTAAAATTGGTTACACTTGCAAAAAGGTCCAGCTTCTTTACCAAAATGTCCACGAACATTGTTGATATTTATTATTTATCTTAAAAGGAGTTCTAAATCTGTCACTGCTAATAGTATTTCACATGAAACGATTAAGTAATATTTTCGCTAAAGCTGCAAATATAAAAATGTATTTACAATACGTATTTTTGTACTGTTTTTGTTAAGAATTAGTAACTGAACTTTCAGATATTTGTTTAAAGTTAATTCATTATTAAAAAATATATTTTTATCATTAAAAAGTCTTTTCGTCGTTGAGGAAAATCTCCTGGTTTTTGAGTGTCTGAGGTTGGCAAGTCTGTGAGTATAATCATTTCAATAGTCACAGATATGTTTCCATTTTGAAATAGCTTTACATATAAAACACATTACAGCTAATATAATATCTGCTGATATTGGAAGAATATTTCCAAAATTTGGGTGATACAGTTAGGGTTGCCACATTTCTTTGTCATCAGACAGAGATACAATGAACCAAGAAAAATCTCAAATTGTAACATGAAATATATTTATTAAGAACAAAAATGAAAAACACAAAACAAAGCATATATGTATGTATATATATATGGGGTGTTTATAAATGAATGGTGTGGTTTTAAAAATTAATTATGAAACCTACCTCGAAGCTTTGGCCTTACCTGTGTCAAATCTGATCGAAGCCTTACCCTTGTGAAACCTACATCGAAGCTTTGGCAACTGTCGAGTTTCTCGTGTGCTGCCTCTTTGTCATGCTTTCTGTGCAGCCGAAGTATCAGTTTCCAAGATGGTGCCGCAACAGGAAAATGCTTTTTGTGTATTCCGTATTGAGGTGTCCAGATCTGTGGCTGCATGTTTTTTGCGAGAAAGTGCAAGGCCCATTTTTCTTCAAACCAGAAACTGTGATCTGTGACTAATTGCTAGATATGTTGAAAACCTAGTTGTTAACCCTAGCTGAATACCAATTATGATGATTACAATTGGTAACTGGACGGTGCTCTACTCCATTTTCACAGGAATCTATGAAAGCTTCTTAATCATGTTCTTCATTAATGCTGGATTGAACTGCTGCAACAGCTGACAACTTTCTCCGCTGTCCACTCTGTTCACCAGATTTAACCTTATCCAGTTTCTTTCTTCAGGTGTTTTTTAAAGACTGAGTTAAGTCAATATGACTGTCAAACTGACTACATCGTCACTCCCACTTCCTGTTTCAGGGGGAAAAGCTTTTATGAACTAGCCCTTATCTTCTAAGTTATGGGCACAAATGTGTGACAGCTGGGGGGCGAACGAGTTAACAACTCCGGCACGCCAGTGTGCTGACTGTGAAAGGAGTACATTTCTTGCTGGCAGATATGAGAGACAGTTGACACGAAATGGCTAATGATAATAAATTGTGTATTTAATTAGAGTAATGATTTTAAATTCAACTAGACTTAATTTGGAAAATCACTCAGTCCCATGCATATGTATACTTTTGAAATGCTCTGAATGGGTTAAGAAATGACACCATAGTCATTATATCTAACACTGTCTTGTCTGCTATGTAAACCATGCCTGGGGAATTCTTACGCTCAAAGTTTGATTTGGTATTTGATTTATTTGAATATTGCTATCTGCCTGGGGGAAGGTATGCATTCATGAATGACTTTCTAAAGGAAAAATGGCTCAGATACATGTTGCTTATGGGAAAATCCTTGAAAGCCAGCTTGTTCTTCAGGATTCAAACCTTGGACCAAACTACCAGTGTTCAGCAATTTTACTGTTTTCCTGCTAGTGGGTCCAGACTCGTAAGAAAGCGGGAACAATCTGAATGGAAAAGAAAATATAAATTACCCTTTATATATGAAGACAGCATACCCATGGAAGCTTAATTTTTTATTTTTTGATACATCAGTTCATTCTGAACATGCAACAACAGAAGAACAAACCATTATGTCACTTTAAATTAAAAACGTATCGAAAATATTGTTGAGAGTATTATTGATGCCTTTATCATCTCATTGTAATGAGGAATTTAATGAAAGTTGGTAAAAGAAAGTGGGGGAGTGAAAACTAACCCTCTTCTGGTCTCTGATTTGGGACACAATGCCCACTCCATTATTTCTTAAGTCTATGGTTATTGGTCATTTGCAGCATGACAGAGCATGGAAGAAATCTGATGAATGAAAGCCTGTGTTGAAAACTTAAATAAGTAAAATTGGTTTATGTTAGGTATAGAAAGAATCATAAAAGCAACAATGATGTAGTCAACTTGCTTTATTGACAGAATATAAACCGTAAAAGAAATTGCCATTATTCCATTGCTGAGCTCCTTTCATCCCATATCAATATAAATTAAGCATTAATCCACTTTTATTGCTATTTCTAGAAAACAGTGTAGCACTTATTAATTTCAAAGCGTGTATATTTAAAACTATATGTGTGATGGCTAAAATTCATTAAATCTGTTTTTCTTGCTAATAAAAGAAATCATTATCTTTTCTATATTGAAAACAGGCTTTAAAAATTTGTCAAATTTTGGAAGTAGAAACTTAATTTATACTTTCTAGCTCCTTAGTTTATTTTTAAAAAAATTTAGCAACTATGAGGGCCATTTTCAAAATGTTACAAGAATTTTTTGTGCGGAATCTGTGTCATTAAAAAAACAAAATATGTCACAATTGCTTAATGTATAATATCAAGTAGTTAGCATGAAGCCATATTTTCAGAACACTGGTATTTTTATTTAGTAAACTATCATTCTCTGTTTAAAATTGTTATATTTTGGACCTTTTATTCATTGTTGGGTAATTCTTTAATAATTTTTCATTTTTAGTGATATGGCATGCAGTGTTGCTGGTATTACTTCTGATGCTAATGTACTGACTAATGAACTGCGACAAATAGCACAAAGGTAAACAGTTTTTATCATATAGTAAAAATACAAATTAGATGTGTAAAAAAAAAATTTTTTTTTTTTTTTTTTCAGAGCAAATGTTCCACTTTTGATTAAATGAGTTGTAAAATGCATAGTTTTAATCTGGTAATCTTTCTGCTTCATATCAAGAAAGAAGGGCCTTTTAAAAAAATTCTTTGTAAATGTCATCTTCAAAGCAAACTAATTATAGTTTTTATATTATAATGACAGCCTATGCCATTATGTCACATCTTTTTCATAATATTCAAAGTAGAGACTCATATAGCATCAAGCTATTTAAAATCCTCCAAAAACATAAATATTGTATTATTAATGAATTTTTATTAATGGTATTATTTATTAATTTCAGATGATAGCACAAGTCATCAGCATTCAGACTTACCAATCAATAGTTTTACTGTAGGAATTAGGATAATGAACAAGAAGTAATTCAGAATAGGCCATTTGTGTGTAAAAGAAGTTAACAAATAGCGTGACGAATTTCATATGACATTAGTATGCTTGTCATTATATGATTTCAGAAATCAAATAGAAAAAGCCTGCCTCTTCAACTGTGAATTTAAAAATGTAAAAAAAAGGAAGAAATATGCCCGTGTGAGAACGTAAAGGATAAAAATCAAAGAAATTTCCTGCTAAATGATGGACACAAATTACCTAATGCTATCTATTGATGAAAAAGTGAGCATAAAACAATTAAAAGTTTTAATTCTTTGAAGGTGTAAAAAGACGTTAGTCTTTGGATTTTTAAACAGAACCAAGAGAATGGTTATTGTTAAATCCTCCAGAAAATCTAATTCATCAACTGGCATTTTTCAAATGCAGTAAATGATATCAGTGAGACTAGGAAATTGGTTTGAAGGAAACCAAAGCATATTTATGTCAGGCTTACTCCATGTCACGAAGTTTTCTTAAAACTAGATACGATGGATAAAATCATGAGGAATCAAAATAATCTTTGAGAAGCTTAAAGAATCTTTGAGAGCTTGCATTGCCCAAATAAAGGTAAAAAAATGAAAACCTAAGCCAAACCAAATGCATTATTAAAATTAACTAGGATTTAAGGGAAATTTATTATTAAACGGAAATTTTTACTGTGTTTGTACATTAAATAGTTCTGTAAAATATATTTTTGATATCAACAGATAAGTAAAACTGGTTTTTTGTTTCTGATAGATATTATTTGGCAATCCCATTTTAAATCACAGCACAACAGTACTTAATAGTAGTTCTTTGACTGATAATCATAAAATGTTTAGAAGTAATTATAGAAAATAAATGATTAAGCAGTTCTGAAGTGATTGTGAATAAAGAATATCTGAGAAAACATGCTGTTGTACTTTTGCTGCATTGAAAAATCAATCCTTCAATTTGGCACAAAAATAAAATATATGACAAAATATTTATGTAAGTCTTGTAAGTGGCATTTGGATAAAAGTGTATAGTTTGCAAAATACCATTTTAAAACTTTTGGACTATACTATATACTCTAATAAATATTTTCTTTATTTGTAGTAGAAAAGGGCTGTAGATTAAGGTTAAATTTGAAACAAAACACACCAATCAATCAAAATTTTAACAGTGTAAATGCCTGAATTTATTATTATATATAAAGGGTCTTTCAAAAAATTAGTCAAAACTTTCAGGACAGATAGAGTACACCTAGGCAATGGAAAATCACACAGCAGTGCATGATCGAAAAGGCTTTTCTGGTGCCTTAGAGACAACACAAGAAAGGAAGAACAGGATGAGAAGTATGTTTATTATGCTTAATACATCAGAAATCAAGAAATAATAACAAAAATAGACTGATCATCATTAAAGAAGTTGTTCAAAATTATGATCCCGGACCATAATGCAGGCCTCGCCATCTCGAGTGCATGAAAGATGCACAATGCACAGTTCCTGCATCATGGTCCGCGGTCATAATTTCGAACACCTTTTTTGATGATGATTGTTGTCTGTTTTTGTTCTTGGTTTCTGCTATACTAAGCATAATTAACATGTTTTCTCACCCCATTAGTACCCATCCTTTCTTGTGATTTGTGTTGTCACTACTGCACCAGAAAAGCATTTCTGAATGTGCATTGTTATGTGGTTTTTTTTTATCATGTATGTGTTTTCTATCGCTCCTGGAAGTTTGCTGAAATACCCTTAATACCATTTTGCTTGCATCAAGGGAGCAGCCAGAGAACCTTGAATGGTATTTAGCAACTTTCAGAATAAACAAAAACTTTGTACCTTTATTATATTAATTAAAATTTGTAAAATGGTATATTGGCTGTTGACTAAAAAAAAAAAGTAACAGCATTGCAGTGGGATTCTTCCACAAAAATTTCCGGGTACTATTTGGTTTTGAGGGCCGTAAAAAATCGCCAAACCATTATTGATCCAGTGCTGCCAAAATATTGCGACAACCCTCACCAAGAAAGGAAGTATACTGTAAATAACTCTACGATTGATGTTTAATTTATATTAAAAGTTATTTCCTATGTACGTTTTTTTATTTTAAATTTAAATAAAAAAGGCTAAACCTTACGATGGAATCATAAAAAGTAATCACTATTTCGATCTTTTTAGAATGTATAATAATTGCTAACATACCGAATAGATGCCTGCATCGCTATTCTCGCTACCGAGTTCTCTCTAAAGATATTTCATCTCGTTGGTTGTTCAAATATAATTTTTCTAAAGTCAGAACGCCCACTTTTTGTGTTTGCCGCTTTGGTACAGGATAAAACATTTAAAATTTTTTTTTTTTTTTTTTTTTTTACTTTTTAAGTTAAACAGTGGTTTGTACAAGATAAGTCAAGCAATTTGTCTGGGATTTTTTTTTAATGACACTAGGTTCAATGTGACGTGGAGACCGATATGTGCAATCTTAAAAACGCGTCAAGCATGGTGGACTCTGCACTTTACCCAAATTCCTATGCAGTCTTTTCTCATGGCATTCCCAAATTGTTAATCTATAATATATAATATAGATATAATATACAAAAAAGAATAAATTAACTAGATTCCAGGGTGTCTTAGAAATATAGAACTATCTAAACTTACGCATTAAAATCAAACAATCGCGCTCACGCTGGTTTGGCGTGCTGTAAATGGGCGCGTGCTAGATTTTTTTTGCTAGATTTGGCGCTTTTGCGGATACATTTTTGCTGCAGTTTTTTTTACGGTCCTCAAAACGGAATAGTACCAATTCCCGTAATTGGAATTAACAAACAGATTTAGGAAATGATGCAACATATTTAATTAGAACTTCATCTTTTTTTTTTTTTTCAAATATACTTTGTATTTAAAAACAGTATAGTTTGATTTTTAAAGCAGATTATATTGATTTTTAAGTTCATTTCTCAAGATATTTCATTATTTCAAATCTGTTTTGTACATGTGTAAGGTTTTTGATAAATTTTAACAGCCTACATTTTGTGAAATTATCTCCTCTGTCATGAATCTCATCTTCTAAATATACTTCACTATTCATCTTCAAAAGTCATGGTTTGATAATTCATTTACAGTTTTTTAGCATGTGAATTATTAACAAATTTGGAATATTTTAATAATTGATAATCATTTACCTTAATTTTGTTGATATGCATAGTTCAGGTACCTTAATTTTAATGACCGCACTTAATTATTATTGTAACTGATTTCAATCTAAATTAGATGCACATTTTAATCTCTTGACAAACTTAAGTATTCGCAGTTATTTATTATTCCTAACACCTACCAGTGACTGAGTGGATAACCTGCTAAACTCTAGTAGTTCGACTTCAGTTTAAATCACAGCAAAGAGCTTCATAGGATCAACAGTTCTCCTGATTTACCCATGTATAATATAAATGGGGATTCGTGTCCCATGGAAGATCGTAGATAAAGGCATTCGTTTCCTCAGGCAGAATCCTTATGTGCTTTTTTCAATCAGTAGTCTAATCTGCTTGATTACAGTTCTTTTTTGGGGGAAAGTGGGTGTTAATGCTTAAAATTTTAAAAACAGAAAAATTTGTTAATTTTACATTACAGTTTAACAGTTGTGCAATGAACTAATAAATTCTGTATTTTTAAGAAATTATATATAAAATCATGGATTTAAATGTAATAAGCATCACCAATTTTTAAATACAGTTACACTTTTCTAAGGTTAACACCCAGCATTCCAGATAATTTTGATAATGTTTCATGTGGAAGAAGTAATGTTGAAAAGATTCTATTCCTGTTACATTTGATGCTTAGTTTCACAGTGAAAATATTTATGTTATATTATATTTTTAAAATCTTTTTATTGTATTTTTTAAATTATTTCTTTAGAGATCTATAATTATTAATAAAAAATTATATAATTATAAGCTGTCAGTCTGTGGCATTTTTTTAGATGACTCTCACCTGCAATGCAGGACTGATGAATAGATTATGTATTCACATATTCAACATATGTTTTTGTAGCTGTTTCAGTTGTTTGTTATGTGATTTAGATTAAAATGAAAAAAATCTATTGTGTTAATTTTATATTGTGCATCATAATTTACATTTTAATCTAAATCTGAAAGCTTTATACGAATTGCTTTTCTGTTTAGTGGCATACATGCGAAATGTTACTTTATTTATGGGGAAAAAAAAAGTTAGTCTCATATTTAATTTGTTGTATGTATATGCTTTTCTAAAATGAGTATCTTTTTAAATGTAGGTATTTACTTCAGTATGGGGAATCTATACCGTGTGAACGCTTAGTGAGTTGGTTATGTGATTTAAAACAAGCTTATACTCAATATGGAGGTATGTTTCATTTCTATAAATTTCAGGGAAATATTTTTAAAGATTTAAAAAAAAATTATGTAATTTTCTGGTTATTTGAGTTGAATTTATGCTTGCTTTTTCTCTAGATTTTGGTGTTTAAGAAAAATTAATATTTTTTATCTGAGTTAAATATGTTATATTATTTGAAGTTTAGCAATTATTTTTAAATATTATTTTAAAATATTTTTGCATACAATACATATTATTTCAGTTAGCTAAGAAAATGAATCTTGGAAATATCAGCTGATAGAAATTCACATTAAAGATTAATATTTAAAGGTTATGTAACATATTGTAGCATTCTTTAAGCGATTAATTTCATTAATAAAATAATGGGCTTTTAATGATGAAGCATGTAATATTTTTTGTTCTTATTTTCTGACAAACTAATATTGTGATAGTGTATCTTAAAGTGTGTTACACGTGAAATGCAGATAAAAATAGGGCATAACAATTTTATTAATTAAATAACACAATTATTATAAAATTATTTAAATATGTATGTTGCTATTTTATGAAACTAAATTACAGGAATTGGTTTTCATTGAGCAGACAGTAAATTTTATGCATGTTTCTTTGTTCAGAATTTTCATTTAGAGGTAATGCACGTTATATCTTGGGTGGCCATAGCACAGCTTGTGAGCCGCTTATGGCTCCCACAGGTTAGTGTATGTGACTGTTATGCAAATTATATATATATATGGAATATGGTAAATTAAAACTCGTGATGTCCAAAAGAAAGTGATTAATTTATTTATTTTACAGTTATTGAATGTTTGTTTTCATTTCAAACCTTTTTTTACTACTTTTAAAATTATGAAATTATGAATCTTGTGGTTTTGAAAAATCTAGTTGCATCTCTTGAACTTTCTTGAATTCCAGCATCCAGCTGTCACTGACGGGAAGTTTGGCCACCCCTGTTATATCTGTTATAAATTATGCATGACAGACTGAAAGTTGGTCATATAAGTGGCTAGTAATTTTTTTAATGTTTGCTATTCAAATAAAAAGACTATAGTACGTATTTTATTCACCAAAAAAATCCACAGTAAAATCTTTAACCTTTTAACTTGTCATGACTGAAATAATCTCGGGCACAGCACTGGTATTCCAAAATGTCACGCCCGAATATTACTCAGGCTAATTTTTTTTTTGAGTGCTCAATTGTTGATAATACCCCGAATTATATCGTAGAGTTTTTTTTCACTTGAATTCACAGGGCAGCATTTTACTGAAGGTTTCAAAGGATAGAGGTTAAAGTTCAAAGTGCACGGCATTTTTTGGATTTTTTGATTGCAAGGCAAACATTTCATTTTTGGAATAAAAAGAATTGACAATTTATGCACCCAAATTATTAAAATAACTTGACAGTTAAAAGGTTAAGTTTATTTTTGTTCTAAACTTCCAAATCTTAATATGATATTTCCAGATTATAATATCTCATATTTGAAGTCAGAAAAGACACATTTCAAAATTATATAGGGATTAATTTTATGAATCGTTTTAAAATATTAAAAAAAAATCAATATGCGGATTTCAAGGTTCCTTTGTTCTAGTAAAAAGACTAAGGTCTTTGTAATGCAACAAACTCACATCTTTCATTTTTCAGTAATAGAGACTTTTTAGTAAATGATGAGGTTTACATAAGATTCAAGATGCTAAAGTACTTTTCATAAATATTTATGTTAAATAAAATTTGTGTTTTTTTCTCCCTCCTCCAGGCAAAAGACCATTTGGCGTTTCCATTTTATATATGGGCTGGGATAAACATTATGGCTTTCAGCTCTACCAGTCTGATCCTAGTGGAAACTATGGTGGATGGAAGGCAACTTGCATTGGTAACAACAGTGCTGTACGTAATTTCCATGACATTTATTAATACTTTGATGTAATCAAACCATTGGAATAATCTAGTGTTAATTTTTTTCTTTAAAGATACAAATTAGTAGAACTTCCTAAACTTATTTCTCTCATGCTCAAGAAATACGTAATTTATTTAGTTTTTTTTTTTTTTTTTTTTTTTTTTTTTTTTTTTTTGTAGTAATGAATTATTTATTATTGAAACTTGTAGATAAGTTCATTGTTTTATAGGCCGCTGTGTCTATACTGAAACAGAAACAAAGAAACGAACTTCTCTTTATGAGCTTAGTCTGGCATTAATACTAGTAAACCCTTGATATGACTAAGTTGACTGCTGATAAATGTAAGTCTGTCCTATGTATGTTCTTTTTAATATTATTATTTTGAAAAAAAAAATATATAACATGTCTTCATTTAATATTTTATTAAATGAATTTCTTATTAATTTCTTATTAATAAGCTGCTTTGTCACAATCTTTTTAATTCAGTATTTAAAAAGTAAAAGTAATATTTTAGTGCTTAATATTGCATTTCTAATTATTGATTATTCTGTTCTGTTTTAGTGGAAATGGCAACTCTTACTCGTGAAAAAAATAAGACATTAATTAGGATTATGCCTACTGCTGAAGTTGAAGTGTTGATCAGAAAACATGAAGAAGAAGAAGCAAAAAGTGAAGCTGCAAAGAAAGAAAAGGAAAGAGAGAAGTCAAAAAGCTAAACATTAAATTAAAGATGTTCACTTTAATACTAATAAATAATTTTTTTTATAATGTGTTTATTTGTAAGTTCATTTGTTAATTGATCTCCATTACCTGTGCAGGATGTTCAATTTTGAAGTGGACCAGACATTTAAGTTTGCATAATTTTGTAAAATATTTTATTTAGTGATTCTCTAATCCTGTATTGTTCTATTACATGCAAGCAGTTGATAAATCAAATTAGAATTTTTTGCTATCAGGAAGGGGCTGACATTATATTTCACAAAAATAACATAAGTGACAGCATTTTCATATTAGATCAGATGTCTCTCAGAGACATGATTTCACCTAAGTGAATATATCTGTGGTTCACATAATTGAGTGCTGAACTCTGAACATCTATGTCTATTTGTAGCATGCCATGCTTAGGCAATGAATTATCAGGCCTTTGTTTTTTGAAATATATACATGGATGCTGGTACTAACTAACCAAGGTACTCTTTGACTGTTTATTGCCTTGCTGCAGAAGAGCCATCAACAAATTTCGATAGAGCAAAATGGTGCAACATGTTGCATGGCAAATTTCACCGTAAAGGTGGAGGTTTTGGGTGACAGAATTGCATCTAAAGCCTAAGACCTTCCCATATCTCCATCACTTATTGGTTAGAGTACTTCTTGTGATGATTTTTAAATTTTATAAACAATATGTATGAACTGCTAACTCTCACGAGTTTTCATCACATCTCCCAATCTCCTGGAGGTCACCTTATCACCAGCTATTCTAATTTTTAGCCTTATTAAAGAAAATGTTTTTCAGTGTAAGTGAAATTTAAGTTGGGCAAATTCCATTCCTCCTGCTTCTAATGATTTTCAGAATAATTTTTCTTATTACATTTTATTTTCTTTATCTTATGAAATTTTATTTAATCTGAGTTATTTTAATCTAATGTAGACATTTGTAGGTTATTATTTGAAGATTCAAGCACTGTTTAAGCAGTTAATATTTATATTTAATTTTGTTTACTTTAATATGTAGTACATTACTAAGTTTATCCATACAAATATTGTGTACATTAATTATTAATTTTATTTTCATTTTATTTACCAGTACTTTGATAAATATAAGCTTTCCTTCACTGAGTGGAATTTTCTCCATGTAAAAGTATAAGAAAATCTTTTAATTAAGTTAGCCAAAAATCTTAAAATTTAGATTACCTAATTAAATACTAATGTATTTTACTTCAGAATTATGATACACATATTTGAGTAACATGAATTATGCAATTAAACTTAATTGAATTCTATTTGGTTTAACAGAGCTCCTTTGAATTGGTATTCCTACGCAATGTGAAATCCTCTCAACTTTTATGATTTCAAGGTCAACAGCTATGTGACTGGAGCTGAAAATGTCCATCATTGGTGCCATTTAGAGTACATATTGGGGAAGGGATCTTCATAAGGTTACTAAGAACATATTGAAACTTGTAGATAAGTTCATTGAATTAAGAGACATGATTTCTAGTGTTTGCTAGAAATCATGTCTCAAGGTATGATTCACTTTATTTCAGTTGATATTCTGATTAGGTTTCCTTTGTCTTCTAGCTGCATTAAGAATATCTCCATATTCTAGTCTTCCTACTGTGATATATAAAGTGATACTTTATGATCTTAAGAAGAATCTTAACATAACTAGAGAAGGAGATTTTTAGATATACTTCCTTTATATGCAAAATGTGTCTGGAATGCTTTCTTTTATAAAGGTGTTAAGTGTATTCAGTTTTGAACTAGATTTATTTACACAGTGTAGTGCAATAAAAATATGGTATTTTATTTTAAATTGTTGATTGTAACATTAGAAGACTCCTGGCCATACAGATTTAAACTTCTTTGGAATGACTATTCAGAGAATTTAGATAACAGTTGTGACATTGTGGAATTTCATTTGTCGAAATTCTGAGAAGACAGAAACTTTTATAAGCACTCCAATTCTATGATATTGAGTCAGATTTTCGAAGATGGTGTTGAAACTGTGGGGAATCAGAGGAAGATGTGAGTAGTATAAACAAAAAATGTCATACCATGCTGCAGCACACGAAAACAAGTTGATGTCAAAACTAAGAGTAGTTTTTTATACATCTATATATGCTGAGAATGCATTATCTGTAAATCATTGTCTAAATCCTGGTCCGAATTTAAATCAAAATGTTCCAGCATTTCTGCTGCAGTTTAGAAGCTGTTTACTGTCAACATCTATATAAAGAAAGCCTTTCTTCAGATTGCGATAACATTGGAGCATAGATGCAGTGTGTTTTTAAGTGATGGGTAAAGGGAATGAATATTAAAATAAGAATTCTGAGCTGAAGGAGACTAATTTCAGGAGCCAGATCATCTTCATTTCTATTAGCAGCAATTACAAAATATCATATTATATCTACTTGTGTTTTAAATTCTCAGTTATGTTCACCATTTGATTTCCGAACTGTGTGATGAATACACTGTTTTGAAAATTTATATTGGAGTAAAATTTATTTTACCTGAAACTAGATTTAACATGCATAAATGTAGAACAAACAAATGGAAACTTTAAAATTAAATTAAACTAAAAGTATAAAAGTTCTTGGTTATATTATTTGAATATATGAAGCACACATGGTGTATTTGCCAAAAGAAAGACTGGACGATTTTCTAAGAGGAACTTGATAGTATTTCTTTATAAAAGAATATAAGTCTTAATATTTGGCAATATTAATGTTTTTCTGGATTGTAAAAGTTTGAATTAATGTAACTGCCATTATAAAGAATGTTATGTTCTTGGAAATTGTGCCATTTCTTCCTTTAATAAAGCTTTCTTGCATTAATTTTCAATGCTTTTTTTTGACATAGATATAGCTTAAAAAATATAATTTCATCAGCAGTTGGTAGTAGAGAGGAAGGTTGTCGTCTCTGCTGATGACATATATCTGATTTCATATATGACATTTATGTTGTTTAGATTTAAGAACATTGTTGATTTTTTTAGATGTAAAGCTTATTTATATAATAAATTGAAAATATAAATTAGAAAAGAAAAATAATGTGGCATATAATATAAATTTGATGCACATAGAAAAATTAATTGCGGATAATTACCTTATATGGGCAAATAGAATCAAAAGTGAAGTTACACAGGGTTTGTAGCGGTCCATACAAGTGCTTATAAGTCCTTATATTTGAAAATAAAAT